CCTGGATTTTGAGCCTTCTTGTTCCTTTCATGTCTGGTTTGGGCACCTTTGCTTGGTCGGTGGTCGGTGGCTGCCCGTTGTGTTCTGTGTTGGCTCTTGCCATGGTGCCTTGCAACCGCGTGATGCTGGTGACCTACGAAGACAAGCAGCTAGGGGCTCTTTTGAGCTGTCTTTGGGCGTGCCGTCAAAGCCCCTACCCAACGAAACAGGGACAGGCTCGTGGCGAACTTCCTGGACTGGGGCTCGGACAGGGGCTTGCTTATTCGAGCTGAGTGGGAGAAGAGTGACATGAACATTGATTGATCTGGTGAATGCAGAATTGCAACTTTCTGGCAGGCTCTTCGCCTCTGGCCGGCCGTGCTCACGCTTTGCAGAAATAATAAATGCAGTTGCCAGTAAAAGGCCCAGGCTTCGCAGACAACTGCAGGCTGCCTGGGATGTTGCTTTGCATGGTTACGTGAAGAGCCCTCTGTTCACCACATAGCTGTGCCATGGCAAGTCCTCATGGCTTGCGTCAGTCTGTTTTGCTTGGGGTTGGCCAAAGGTTGCAGGCGTCTTGGCTCTTGCCTGGGGAGGCTTGCTCCGCATTGGGGAAGTGTTTCAGGCAACTCGGGGACACTTGGTTTTGCCGCAGGATGTAGCTAGGCATCAGGTTGCCCGCGTTGATCAGCCAGACCTTGTGCGTGTGCTGATACTTGCTTTTGGTGGTCTTCAAAAGCATTGTTACTTATGGCACGCTTCCCCCCAGACGATGAGGAAAAAGCGGTCTTAAAGGCCTTGACGATCAATTTGAAGGAATTAGACCTGGGGTCATTACGTGCTGGAGGCGCCACGTGGCTTTTGCAGACTTCAGAAGATTCCGAATTGGTGCGTCGCAGAGAACATTGGCTGGTTCCTTGAACCATTGGAGTTTTGGGTCACATGCAGCTGGAAGATTGGCAGAATCACTGCCATTGTGGCACTTGCGTGCCTCAGTGCGGCACAGCCAGTGTCAGCACTACCGGCTCATGCCACCCTGCAGGTGCAGAAAAGGGGGAGCGCTTGAACCCTTAAAATAAGACTTCAAATACAATTGATTTAGCCAGAATCCCCGTTTTCGAGGTAGTTTTAGAGTTTGATCCTCTCTTCCTTTAAATTTCCATTTTGGAACATCGCCTAGCAAGTTTAATTTTGGACTTTTCTTTGCCACAAAAGGGCCAGAATGTAAACAACAAAAATCGTATTTCGAATCTCCTAGCAGGCGTCCCTTAAATGTTTTGCCACATTAAATATGAATTATGTTTGAGATTGAGTTTCTATTTAATTGATAGAATCCAAAGCTAAGTTAATATTAGATTACATTTGGCAGTTAATTTATATTTCGGAATACACCTCTTTTTAATTTCTTTTGCTGAAGATTAGCTGGAGCTTACCCAAAGTTATTCCTATGTAATTCCTAGTTGGAAAGGATTTGTTTATTTGAGTTATATTTGAACAAAAACCGCTTTGTGGAAAACTATATCCTGACTCAATTCCGTTCAAAATTCCAATTCCAGCTGAAGTAAAATCCTTTGTGAAAAGGGTATCATATCGGGATATGCACGGGCCTTCAAATTTCAGATTCTAGATGTATCATCCCCAAAAGGCACTAAAACCAGGGTCCATGCAAGGGGCGTGCATATATATATATATATATGTATATTTATATATATGCCGATATATGTATATTTATATATATGCCGCGAAAGGTTTGGCGAGGCAACGAGAACTCTGATGATCCATCGCCGACATGCTTTCCATGAGCGTGTCAGGAAAACACAACAACGGATTCGATCCTTGGCTCAGACAATAGCTTGACAGGTCATTTGCAAGTACATGGTGGACTTTCTTGGATTTGAGTCCACTTCTTCAGCCAAGATCCTGCGGGATGAATACTTTCAGCATCTTGGCCTTGTGGGCAGAACACGTTTCATCGCTGCCGCACTCATCGTGGACGTTTGTGGAATGGAATGGTCTGTTTGATGCGACAAGTCACGAGCTCGCTGCCCATCCATGAGGGCCTTTCCTGGGGGGTCCTTCATTTCGAGTTTGCGAGTTGTAATTAAGAAGAATACTTCTCCCAGATGTTTCATCAGGGATCATTGGAAGAACATTCTGCAACAAACTTGACATGCTGCGATCATTCATTGCCTGAGGCGCTATCACTCAACAATGAAGGGCCTTAATGTGGCAATGCAGGACGAGCTGTCCGTTTTGACATGGTGCGGCAGTCGAATCATTGGCAAGCCGGATAATATTGAGACGTTGCCAAAACGTGCTGTAATATAATACTAATCAATCTCGTTACTGACCCGCTCGCTGGTTTGATGAAGGAGGGCCGCCTACCCAAGCCTTTCTACCAGGAGCCATGCCGAGCTACAGCTGTCGTCTAGTTTCAAACTGTTGCTGAGATTGTAAGGAGCAACTCGGACAGTATTGGGCAGACCACTGTGACTTTGCAAGGCGCAGAGCAAACCTCATCTTGCCAACGAACATGCTAGACATGTCAAATGAAAAGAGAATGGATGGTGTGCACGACCTTGCCGTGTATGGGACAGATTTCTGCATGCAGATCCTCGACAAGTAGAGGTGATCCGAAGCTTATCCCAGGCCCTGAGGCATCAGATCTGACCATCTCACATTTGATCGGACAGGATGTTGGCCTCAAGATTGCAGTTTTCACCAACTCTCCGCGCCAGTGCGCTGTAAGAGACCGCCAACGGGCAAGCTGTTGAGCTGTTGGCAATTCGGTGCAATGTGCATTATGTTGCCTTCTTTTGCGTTCTTTGATGTTCTTTGATGTTCTTTGCTCTTTGGTATGTACATTCTCTATTTGCCCTATTTTAAAAAAATGCCTTGCGAGTTCGTTTGGAGGTATGCGCTTCGGTGCCTGGATGCCTTGGGCCTAAGGGCCTTCGTGCCGGACGAGATGGTCTTCGCTGTAGAGGTGAGTAGCCGAGTGCCGAGTGCCGAGAAGCGCCGAGAAGCGCTTGGACGCGGCTTGAGCTCAAGCCGCTTGAGGACGTACTTCCAGCGTGCAAGCCACAGCCAGAGGCAGCTCTGAGCAAATTGACTTGAGACATCGTGTATGCAAAATATTCAGATTGAAAGGTTTGAGTCGTTTGAAGCATTTGCAAGGCCTTCAAGAAGGTCCTGGACGCCATCGGCGCCGCCCCGCAGCGCACGGTGATGTTTGAGGACTGCAGAGGGCGCCTGCTGAGTGGGATATGCAGAAGAGTTGGTAGCCACACACACACACGCTGCTTGATGAAGGCCAATTGGCCTTATGTTGCACTAGGTTGAGGTTGCTCATGCAGAAGGCAGCTTCATACATGCAGCAACACCAGAAAGATCTGATGATATGCAAAGGCGTTTGCAAAGGAAGCCACCGCATTGGATTCCAGATCAGACCCTTGCAAACAACCTATATTACAATATCAGATCAAAAGCAGGGGACAACTTGCGCTGAAGGAGCTGATCTGTTGAGTTGCCGAAAGGCAAGCGGCAGTCAGATCAGCCGATGGGAGGAACAAACGCACTGAATCGAGTCAATTTCTCTTCAGTTGCAGGAGAAGGCTTCTCTGATTGTAACACGCGCAGCCGGCATCGGGCAAATTGTCTCCACCTGAAGCATCTGGGTCCCCTTCTGTTCTGATACAAGGAGCTTAGATGGCCCGTGTCAGCGATTCGCCAGACATTGCGGATCAAGTCCGCCTAAAGCGGGTGAGGGCGAAGTGCTGAGGACTCCATGAAGAATATCCGCGCCTGCAAGGCTTCCGGACAAGCTTGCCAAAACAGGAGAAACAAAAGCAATCCATGAGTTGCTTCGGTGGCTTGTGAAGGCACTGGGTATGCACACGGTGCTCGTCCACGAGGCCTCCATTCATCAAAGTGGTGTTATTCGTTGCTGTGTAGGCAAGAATGTTCCCCCGCTAGGCCAATGGAATTTCCAGTGGAGGCCTGACAAGCTTTTCCCGCTACTCATTTGCAGGACATTGCAGGACTGGTGTCGAGTTTTGCAGACGTGTCCGTGTCGCAAAACATAAGCCTGTCGGCCTATCTGAAACGTGCCTGAACATGCATTGATCGGCTTGGTTGAGCAGGTGAAGCTGCTTTGCTTCATGACCTTCCGCAGCTGGATGACCCGTCCGTGGATGTGGCGATCAAGGCTCTTGTGGCTTGTGGTTTTGAGAGCCACTGAGAGTTGTTGCCAAGTGCTATACAATGCGTCCTAGTCTCAAGGATATGTCAGAAGTGCCGACGGCCCTGCCCAATTTATGGCAGAAGCGCTTTGAGGCAGGATCGATATTACGCAAACATCATTTGTGGCATTGGTGGATGAGCAACCCTTCAACTATGAGGATAGTAGACTCAGTGCAAGCTTTAGTTTTTTGCCCTTGCCTTTTGACATACTAGTTGGACTTGGACAATGTTGTCAAGTTGTTTCTTGCCAGGCAGAAGTGAGGGGCGCGGGCATCCAATAAAGTGAGCAGACGCACGAGCCCTTTGCACAAAAAGGTGAAAGGCAGCTGCAATTGGAGCCTGTCAGGCTTGTGTGATCTATGGATACCTTTAACCTCGACAAATGTGCTAAGTGGAGGGAAGCAAGCCGGACCTGGTGCACCCTAGAGGGGCATCAAGGTGGGATGATTAAAGGACCGATTCAGTGTCATGCTCACCACACCCAACAATGACGCCCGAAAAAGAATAGAAAGGAATAGCATGTGTCCGTCGCTCGGGGCAAAGCAGCTGACAACGGCTAGCCTTCAGTGAATTCTTGTCATTTCGCCAATCCTAAGCCATAAATCGTACCGGTCCTGTTGCAACATTGTTTGGCAATGCCATTGAGCAACATGAACACACCTGGCAATACGTTTTGTCACACAGATCCTTGCGGAGAGGCTCACAAAGTATCTTCTTTTCGTTGCGCAGCAATCCCACAATGTGAACAACTTGCCAGATTTAGCATTTGTCATGACTAGGTACATGGCGCCGGAAATTATCCGTGGAGAGGGCTACTCAGGTGGGGTGGGCTTTGATAGGTACTGTTTGAGTGGGACAACTGCAGACGATGCCTATTCGCAGCTACGCTGCGAGTGATCTGAAAGTGTGCAGGCTTTGCAGCCGATGTTTGGGCGCTTGGCGTTGCAAGATGCTCAGCGTGAAGATTGAGCCTTCCAGCTCAAATTCATCAAATTCCACAGGTGCTTTTTGCCCTTCTTTTGGGCACGCTCCCATTTGCAGCGAAGACCGAGCCGGGCGCCAATGCTCATGCCATGCCCTTGCAACTTTACCTTGGAACGGGTTTGGAGACCGTTCCACAAGTAACCAACTTAGTGATGGGGCCATGGGCAGAAGCCTAGTGCGGAATCATGTTTGAGTCAGCCGGCTTTGGCTTCAAGGATGCAGCTCTATGCCAGAATCCGGCGGGGGACCTTCTCGTTCCCTGAGTGCGTAGGCCTATCACTCAGCTGTTGGCTTTCGAAGGCAAGCATTCCCAATTTGCTTGGCTGAGGGGAGACCCAGAAGAGGCTCATCAAGGGTGTTATGAGGAAGGATGCCTGCGACAGGCAGTCGAACTTCACTAAATTTCGTGTGGCTTTTTCGGCACCCTGCGGACCCGGCTCTAAAGACAGCATGATTGCTCAAATATGGTCTTGGCAGGCCATCCGCCGCCGCACTGCTGCAACATGCATGGGTGGCGGGCAGGGACTTCATAGAGAATGTCGACCCCGCAAGCCAGAGACTCTGAGACTTGCGTGTTGAGTGGTATTTCTGAAACTGGAGTTCTGACCCTGCGCTGCATTTGCGGAGAAATAGCATCAAGCTTGGGATACCGTGTGTCAACATCTCGGATGGCATAGTTAGAATCATTGCACCGTTGCACCCATCTGTTTTCCTTTTTGGCTCGCGATTGTTCCGGAGCGCGTGCAAGCCATGTCGAGCACCGGTGTGGTGTTTTGCGGACTCGCGATGCAGGCGGGCGCATCGCTGACCTTCCTCATTACGTTGACCTGCCTTCAGTGGCTGGACCAAAACGGCTGGCCAACTGGTCTTCTCAACATCGGTGCCTTCACGTTGCTCTCCCTCCTGCTGATGACGGAGCTCTGCACAGATAGGGGGGCCAGAGCTCTTCCGACCTCCTCCCGCGATCGCGCCGTGGTGTTCGTGCAGGGCTTTTGCAGCGTTTTCGGCTATGGAGGGGCCGTCTTGGGATCAAGGAGTGGGTGTGGGACTGACGTCATGGCCATCAGCAGCATCAACGTGGTCACCTCTGCAGCACTGGGTGCCATCCTATTCGGCAACGCCTTTGGCTTGAGGATGTGGACCGCCCTGGTGTCGACGATGGCGCGCGCGGTGCTAATTACGCAGCCCCAGTTCATTTTTGGAGGGGAGGAGCCGCCGTGGCTGGGCTACTTCTTCGCCTTGAGCTGCGGACTGGGCCTGTTGGGCTCCATCCTTGCAAGTCGGCTCAGCGGACCCGAGGTGTCCCTGGTTTGGTCCAATTTGTCAGTTGCATCGCAGCGCGGCTGCTTCAGCTTGTTTCTGGCGCTGTGGAAGCATGACCTTGACAAAGCGGACAAGCTTTATGAGACGCCTTTTATTGCCTTGGCTGCAGGTTCTGACCTTGTGCTGCATTGTGGTCACAAAGGGCTTGTCCGCAGGCACGCGCCTGGTACCTCCCGGGCTCAGTGCCATTTTCGTCACCAGCTGCGACATCGTTCTGGGATACCTCCTCCAGGTCGTGGTCTTCGGCAGGGTGATGGATGGGCTGAGAATAGTGCGCGCGACTCTCATGATGTTTGCTGTGCTGGCAGGCTTGGGCTCAAACAAGGCCGGCATTGCCAACGCCGAGAACGCAGAGATCCAGAGTCAAGATATGGTTGAGGTGAATGAACCTGTGAGTGACCCTTTCGCAAAACTGTTGGATGGGCCGCTGCCCCAGACGACTGGGGGAAGACATGAGGATGTGTGAGTTGATCCTCAGCATGCGATGGGCTCGCACCGGGGAGTCAGTCTTTACAAGGAGATATTGCAAGGTATCATTTGCCCCGCGAATTGTCCCCCCGAAATGGGGGGGGGCGTCCGCTGCGCCATAGGCGTATCCCATATTTACTCGATTTACTGCTGGGTTGCAAAGACAACCTGGCCACAGCCAGCGGACAATACATCATGTTTTTTTGCGATGTTATTTACTTTTTGAGCGTACCCCTTTTTGACGTTCCCTTCAAAAGGGAAAGCAAATACGGCCGCCCGCAAATGGGTGGCATCACCCGATTGCGATAAATGCAGAGCTCCTTTGCAATCCACTTTGCTGATGCGAAAAGGAAAGACCAATAGACATCAGACAACAATTAAGGCATTTACATCACAGACAAAATAAACATTTGTATCTCCAGAAATCTCCAGGAGAAGACAAGTAACGCGGAAATAAATATTTAACGGGAATTGGTATGAAGACAAATTCATGAAATGAAAAACATATCAACCACATATAGTCTAGTAAAGAGGTAGTGGAGAGGGTAGACACATTTGATATGATTGACATGTTGTGTCTATCCAGTTGTTGGCTTTATTACTAACATTTTATCTTCATATTTGTATCTTGTGAATGGTCTTTGTGCTGATCATTGTATCTCTTAACATAATGCATCGCCAATCTCTTGAATGGTGAGTGACATGAAAAGAGCGAATGGACCTTCTCTTCGTGTTCCCTTTCTCCCTTCTCCCTTTCCTACATTTCGAGAGTTTAATGTTGGAGGCGGGGCAAGGTACAGAGAGATGAGAGCTATGAATGGACGGACACGATTGCAGAGAAGCGGGAAGCCTCGCGCGGACTTCCCGTGGCTTTCACGTTTCATCGTCCCTTGTCATTTCCCTTCTCTTGTAACTTTAGGACGTGTCCATTACAAAGTCCCAGAATGTATAGCTTGTATAGCTTGTGAAAGTTGGTGACCTTTGGGACGCAGCCGGTATAAATCCTTTAAAGCTATGAACTAGTTGGTTTTCGTGTTTTTTCTTCCATACACTTCGCTACCAAGCGATGAATCCTTTGGGGTTACTAATATGGGGGCAATTTCAGTGTGGGATGGTGGGTGAGAGAGTCTGTTTTTTTTGTTCATACGAGCGATTTGTCCTCTCCTGCCTATCACTTAGTCTTCATTTTAGTAGGTGTTGGCGACGCAAACAAACCAAAAAGGCAAGAAGACTAGCCCAGTGCTTCCAGTTGCCTCCACGTGCGGAAACAGCTTGGTTACCTGCCATATTGGTACCTGACGGCTGGTTCCAGGCACCACAAAAGAAGGGCCCGAAACCGTGAAATTTGGGCCCGGAACCGTGAAATAGGGGCCCGGAACCTGTAAAACCGTTAGACAGGAATCTGTTTCCCAACGTTTTTGGAGCCAAGCCTGGACGGGGAGACAGCCACAGCAATAGTGCCTGAGCCATCCATCAGATTCCACGAGGGAGGATGTATTTTGCTGCCTGTATCTCGATGTATCTTTTAGTGAAGGTCAGGAGCTGCCTCGCTTGCGGAATTTTGCTGTCCCTCTCTGAAATGACATGGGGTGAGTCTGAAAGCTCTTCCAAGGTGCATCTACTTGTCAGATAAGCCCAAGGCCAGTCAAGATAGCGGACGCCTTAGGTTTGCGGCCCGCCGCCCATGAATCTAGAAAAGCTTGACAAAACTCTGCGTATGCTGTGCATGCTGCACGGATGCCAACATGAGTCATGCAGTTAACAAGCACAAGAAGCGCTCTTGGCGCCTTTGGGTTTCTGGAACTTGTCGACTTGCGTACATGCAGACTCAGGCCACCTCTGCGATCAAAACTTCAGGAAGGCAGGATGCTCGCTTCAGCATGCAGTAGGTTCGGGGAAAGTACATACGACTGGGCCAGCCATCTGAAGGCCACAGACAGCGCCAACGCATGCGGACAGCGCCTCAGAAATCTTGGAGGAGCTTCTCACTAACCTTCCACTCTAATGCAAATCCTTTTTCAGCAATTATCAAGCATCACATGAATCCCATGTACCTATAATTTAAGGGCTGCCGCCCATTGCCGCCGACCCCTCCACTGGGGGCCAGCCCAGGTTTTTTTGTCCTGGCAGCGGCTTTTGGCTGGTTCAGGCTTGCTTGCTTGCTTGCTTGCTTGCTTGCGTGCTTGTTTGTACGGCTTGCTGGCGCCGGCAGCAGAAAGGAAGAAAAAAGGCCGGACGGGCGGGCCGTGACAGAGCTTCAGGCCGCACTCGTTTGCCCACAGCGAGCACCAACCAAAGGAGTGCGCCGGCAGCAGATAGGAAGAAAACAGGCCGAACGGGCTGGCCGTGACAGAGCTTCAGCGCTGAAAGCTGTGCCCAGCAGGTAGTTGAGCACTCTCGGCCTCCTCAGCTCAGGGGCAGTTGGTGTAGCGGCATCACACCCGCTCAGCATGCGAGACGGGCTGGATTCAATCCCCGGCCTGTCCATGCCCATGTGCGCCTGCGTTTGTCACAGTTTGCCTATCCCTGGTCTTTCTCCCTTTGGGTTTGCTGTGCGTCTTGCCAAGGGCGGCTGCTCCGGTGCCGAACCGAACGTCACTTTTGAATCCTATATAGAAAGTAGAAAGCTATCGGTCCCGCGCTCGCTTCGCCGCAGCGAGCACGAACCAAAGGAGTGCGCCGGCAGCCTGCTCCGCCGCGGCCGGGTGCCTAACGTCGCGTTTGAGTCCAATATGCAGTAAGGCTATCGGTCCAGAGGGAGCGGCCAGCCACAAAAGCTTCGCTTCCCGCGCTTTTCCAGGCCGCACTCGTTTGTCCACAGCGAGCACCAACCAAAGGAGTGCGCCGGCAGCAGAAAGGAAAAGGAAAGAAAAGAAGCGAAGAAGAACAAGAAAAAAGGGAAAGAAAGAAGGCTGGTAAGGTACAGGGCTGAACGGGCGAGGGCGAAAGGGAAGGGAGAAGGCTGCCACAGTCACGCTCCAACGCTAAACGAACACTCCCCCAGCGCCTTCCCCTTGCAGGCAGGGGGGTCGGCGGATATGTTGATAATATTTTTGGAGTTCCAAAGCCGGCGATGGCCAAAATCATGCGGCGGCTTTGTTCTTTCAATCCCTACTGCATACCAAGGGCCATTTCGAGCTGGTACGAAAGGTGGGGATAGCTCGAGGCGGGTCTTAGGGAATCGTGAAAGCCAGGCGCAAGTGTTGGCATGACCCAAATTATGCAGTATATGTATCACGAAGCTGTGGGCATGTGTGGCATTGAGAGCTCTCCACACACGTCAAAATGGCAATCAGAGTGCTCGAGTACGGCGGAGGCACAACTGCTTTTGGTGGCAGTTGAGCGATGGCACACCAATGCTCGGCGAATGTTTGATGGAGTGCTGAGCTGCAGCAAATGGCACGCAGAACAAGTATACATCTTGCTGCAGCTCATGCCAACACCTGATTGGCTTAAATCTGGCCATGGCTAGTCCTTGCGTCTTGAATTTCAGGTGTGAGGAATAATGTCGTTTCCCCACCAAGGGCCCTAAATCGCCCCAATCACCGATGGACCACGCACAATTCACTCGTTGACCTCAGCCTGAATTCAGCACGGATCAGTGCTGCGACAGCATGGACATGTAAGTCGATTGGGCATTGCAGTCTGCTGATCAAATGCTTGCCTTCTAGATCTTCTAGCGATACGCAAGCACCTTACATGGTACAGTGAGAAGACGTGCAGCTGCATAAACTGTGCGAAGAGGCCGGACATGGGCCGCTATAGGTCTCTGACCATCCTCGGACCCACTGATTTGTGCCCACATTCCATGGTTGGGACTTTGCAGGTTGGCTTGGGCTGCGCTCCGAATGCCCTTGCAAGATATTTAAACAAAGAAACGCTACAAAGCGTTTGCTCAGGACATTCAATTAAGTGGCACATCAAAGTAGGAAGCATGGCCGAATCCTTCCCAGGCATACTTGGCCCAAGACAGCCTTTTCCATTGTCACCGGGAGTTGTTGAATGTTCTTCCAATCGGGTGTTGGCCAGGACTTACCGAGCCAAATGATTGCCACTTCAATGATGTGTTGCGCACTGAATCAGCCAACAAAAGTAATTGAAAGGCATCGTGAACATATTGCTTGACCGCTAAGTCAATGGGCTGGTGTGCATCCTGGCATAATTAGTTGGGCAGCCTCCGGTTGGCTTTGCCGCATTCCGTGTCTGGTTTCGTGTGTCGCGCTCCTCAATCGGGGAGGCACAATTGGAACTTCGACACTCCTTGTCTGGATACTGGAGTGGCCATGGGAGTACTGAGTGCATGGAGGACATGAAGTTCCAGAATCTCAATGCCTGGTGAAAGCTTGCTTCAACGCTGATGCTTTGAGGCAACAAGGTGCGAGCTGCAGAACTGTCCTTCCCTAGAAGGAAATGCAATTCATTGTTACTCAGACTCCTAATTGATGAACCTTCTAAAACCTGCCCCAGGATTGGGAAGGTTTGGAAAGCCATGTGGCGTTAATCTTGTGAATGAGTTTTGGGGGTGTTGAAATCTAGATGAGTGTATGCCAAGTGAACCCCGCGAAGCCCTGAAAGATGTTTCTCCTTGGGACTCTGCAAAGGAAGCGTCTTCAATGCAGGTTAGTTTTGGTTAGTCAAGTGGAAGCCTTCAAGAACTCTCAACGCTTGCCTGCTCTGACAGCTCAGACCTGCACGAGTGCCGAAAGGGCAACAGAAGGGCAGCTGGCAGTCGTCGACTGACTGCATCCTGGTCTTCATGCTGAGCGACCAAGCTGCGTGTCCCAGCCGAGTGCTGTTGCCCATTTTGAGCATCAATTTTGGGAGTCGGAAGCATAGTGCAGCCTGTGCTAGCGCCCGAGATTCAGGCTCCCCGAGTTTGGCATGTACGTGCTCTGAGACTCTGTGCGTTTTTGTGCTTCGCCGTTCTCACTTGCCCATGGCAGTCAGGACATGGCGGCCCTGGCGGCAGGCCAGGCCGGGCTGGGCCAGCCGCAGGCGCCTTGCCAGATTGCACAGTCGGTTGTACCTCCTGCACGAGTACCTGCACACACCTGGAAAGCATCTCCAAGCATTCGACTTCTGAAGCAAATGTGTGAAGGCCAGCCCAGCTGACATGATGGTGGCAGAGCTGAAAGGTGTTTCAGACATCATGGCCAGGCAGCGATTTGTGTGTTCAGCGCCGAGTTCTTTGAGTGTTGGGTTCAGGATGCAGCTCAGCTGCTACAGCAAGTGCATAGCAAATGTCAAGGACTGAGGGATGCATGCCAATGTTTGCCAACCTAAGTCGTACAATACAAGAGTTGTTTGGCCATTTCACCAGGTTGGTAGCAGCAAAACGTGCCATCCGCCAAAAACAGGCAAGCGCCCACAGCCCTCACTCATGATTCAAAGCTTGCAGTAAACCATGTCAATGGGCATCTTCACGATGTCTTGTTTTGAGCTTGCATGGGCAGAAAAAGGCTGTGCTTCTGGCTTACTCAGCATTGGTTCAATTTGTTTTTCCAGCCACATCGGCAGCCTCTGGTTCCAGTGATGCCATGAGTATCAAAACCCTGACATGACTGACTTGTCAGTGATTGTCCATGAGACTTGGGCGAGGCACGCTGTCGTAGATTCATAGATTGATCTGTGTCAGGAGGAGAAGCTCAGCGTTGGCGAAATGAGCTGTGTCGACAGGCTTGCCTTGCCTAAGTGTCAAGAGACTAGCTTGGAAGGATGCATCAGTTGCCTGTGCAAAGTCATGTTACCCTTGCTCAGCATGCTTGCGAAGACATGACTTTCCCTGCAAACCGAAAGGTCTGGATTTATAGCCACATGGCAATCGAACACGCAAGATGGTTCAGCTTGTTCATGTTTTTGCCGTCAAGGTGTGTGAATAAGTTCATGGACGTCCATCAGAAGGCTCAAATTCTCGAAAGCTGACAAGCGCTGGCACTGCGCTTTCTGAGGTGGGTGTGGAGCTTCAAAACTCAATGGCACGGGCCCTGCACAAGGGCACCTTGCAAGTATGAAGCATCAGCGACAAAGTCAATAGCAACAACTATTTGTCACTAACATGGTCTGAAACCCACTCTAAACCGCCATAGTCTGAGCGGAACCAATAATTTTAGGTTTCTTTGTTTAGTTTGAACATTCCCCATTTTGCGTTGAATAATTCGTTGCTTATTGATTGAAAGTATTATGTTGGTAATCCACCTTGATCGATACCTGACATGATATATGTATTGATATATGAGAATATGCAGTAGTAAAATTATGCCATTGTAAGAAGACAATGATGCACTACGCAAGTCAAGCCAACGACAGATGTGTGTCTTCTTGAGGGACCATTCACAACTGTTTTCCTCTTGGAACTCTCTTGCGCGGCAACAGCAAACACGCTTGTGCGCCAACAGAAAACACTTTGTGATTCCACATTGGCTGCGATGATGCGCCAACAAGGAACACTTTTCTGTGCCGGCGTGGACACGCTTATGCGCCAGCAAGGAACACTCCTGTGCGCCGACAGTGAACAAACATACCTGTGCGCCGAGAACGGACACCTTTGTGCGCCGACAGTGGACACGCTTATGTTACGCACCAATAGTGAACACTCTTGTGCGCCGACAGTGAACACGCTTGCGCACCAACAGGGAACACTTGCGTGCGCCGACGCTGGATACGATGATGCGCCAACAAGGAACACTTGTGTGCGACAGTGAGCACACTTGTGCGCCAACAAGGAACACTCTTGCGCGCCGACGGTGGGCACGCTTGTGCGCCAACAATGAAAACTTTCATGCGCCGACAGTGAACACGCGTATGCACCAACAAGGAGAACGCTAGTGCGCCGACAGTGAACACAGTTGTGCGCCAACAACGGGCACTTTTTTTGCGCCCACGGTGAACACGCTTATGTGCCAACGAGGAACACTCTTGCGCGCCGTGCATGCTTGTGCGCCAATAAGGAACACCTGTGTACGCCGACGGTCAACAAACTTTTGCGCCAACAAGGAACACTCGTTCGCGCCGACGACGGGCACGCTTATGCGCCAACAATGAACACTTTTTTGCGCCCACGGTGAGAACGTTTATGCACCAACGGGGAACGCTTGCACGCCAACAGGGAACACTTGTGTGTTCCGAACACTTGTGTGTTCCGACACAGGATACGATGCCGCGCCAACAAGGCACACTCTTGTGCGCCGACAGTGAAGACACTTGTGCGCCGACAACGAACACTTTTGTGCACCGACAGTAGACACGCTTATTTCATGCGCCTTTCTCTTGTGAACCTCTCTTGCGCATATCTGTGCGCAACTTGGCTGTGTGCTTCGCGTGACACTTTGTCGCCAGAAGCGGCTTGCGAGCTAGAGATGCTGAAGTGTGATTCGCTTTCTGTGCGTTCATTGCAAAGTTGCGGCTTTACAGCTGGAAGTGCGAGAGTGCACTTTCCGAACGGCACTTGCGCTCTTCAAAGTTGTGATTTTGCAAGCTGGAGCTGCGAGAGCGCGCTTCGCGCGCCACCTTTGCACGTAGACATCAGCAATTTTGCAGCCGGAGCTGCAGGAATGAGTTTCCGGCTGGAGCTGCGGGAGCAAAAATGTTGCACTTAAAAGGTGCGATTGTGCAGCCTGAGCCGCGGCCACGGACCGCAGGGAACCCGAGATCGTGCGCGCTTGTCAGCCGCAGGCGTGCCAACCGCAAGACAACTCCGAGAGGCTATTTCGCAAGCGCTGAAAACAAAACTTGAACGGCGCAGCGAGTGCCTCGACACAGCGCAAGCTCATGCGAGCCCGCGCGAGCCCAGTCGCGCCTTCCCCCTGCCGTGGAAAAACGCGATGTCATGCGCAAGAATCGCACGGAGCCACGCGAGAGTGCAATTTTGCACTCCGCCCCGCTTCCGTCCACCGGCGCCACCTCTCCACGCACCGCCCCGAGCCGAAAAGCCTCGCTCCCCACTTCCCCGCAGAAACTTCGGCAAAACAATAAGACGCTAAAAGAAACGATCCCGAAGCAGAACCTAAACCCACCCCAAACCAAAACTTGAGCCCGCCCTAAACCAGTTTGAAGTACTTGATCGTTTGACCCTGCGTCAGGATGGTGCTATCGCGGGCCCAAGCACACGTGCCAATGCATTCCTGAACCACGGACACCAGCCCGCCTCACTGTGCATGTTGCATTGGCTGAACGTGTCACTGCGGCGGGGGGTTTGAGGAAAGGGCAAGCGGCTGAGGCCGGGTGTCACATTCAGGACCCAGGCAGGTGCTTGAACTTCAACTTGGTAGCGGAGCTTAAGGTTCCTTCCAGGGCCAAAAGCTGAGGTATCTGCACTTGCGTTCGACGGACGCTCTGTTTCCTTTGCAAGCTGTTTGCGCATAAGTTCTGGACGCTGCTTTTGTTTCTTTCTGGGCATGTTGGCGGCTGTGCTCATCATGGAGCTTCTTGCGGACTCTTCTGCGTTCGCCCCGGAAGAAACTGATGCGAGCGCAGCTCGCCGGACACTGGCAGTGGATTTTACACCTGCCCACGCGCAGAAGACGCAAGCAACTGCAGGAGGAGCGTGGGTGACGATTTGAAGTTGCGCGGAGAGGAAGCAGTGAAGATGTTGGAGAAGAACTTTGATTCTTTGAAGCTGAAAAGTTCGTATACTTGGAGCTACAGCATACCACTCATGAAGATGGAGAGTTACTGTGGATCAAGGTCACTACATACGGGAACTTCGCCCCATTCCCAAAGATGCATTGAAACTGAATCTGGCTCATTATGCTTCCTTCCACATGTCTCTTTTCGGTGGACTGGCGTGGACTGTTCAGACGAGGCCTGACAAAGCAATTTTTGCGGGGGCATTGCAGCGGCGTCTCGGCAATTCAGATGTTCTGAATTTGGGTCGGGTTTTGAAATACGAAAGAAGAAGCCGATCAAGATGAAATTTGCCAAAGTGCGAATGGACAAGGGTGCGCCCCAAATGGGCACTAACGCAGCTCAAGTATGCAGGAGCACCTTTGTTTTTGAACGTTGCGTTAACACTTGCAGAGGTTTTGACTGGAACAATGTGCCTTCACTATTGGCTTCACGCTTGGGGAAGGGGAGACTTGCCGGTTGACCTTGACAATGTGGTTGATGCGAAACTCGTCGTTGATGGTTGGCACGAGAGTGGTCGCTGATGGTTTGACCCTGCAGCACTTCCTCAAGTTAGTGGCAGTCTGGGCCCATGACCGCAGAATACACTTGTGGCCCACGCATGTGTCTGGGGCCCGGACTCTGGGCGGACGATCTCAGCAGAGCCCACCTGAATCGCTTCGCAGAGCGGCAAGGGGTCAATAGACCAGGCGGCTTTGCAAGAGATCCAGCCTGGCACCTGGACAATTCAACGTGAGTTTCAAGCCCGATGGCGGACAACCTGAGTTTGAAGGTACTTGATCGTTCGACCTTGCGTCAGGATGATACATGGTGCTATCGCCGTTTGGCCCAAGCACCTGTGTCAATGCATTTGTTTCAGGCAAAAGCCCGGACACCAGTCCGCCTTAGTTTCACATCGCTGCGCATGCTGCAATGGCTGAACGTGTCACTGCGTCGAAAGCCTTGAGAAAAGGGCGAGCGGTTGAGGCTGGGTACGACTGTCAGGATCCGGGCAGACGCTTGAACTTGAACTAACAAATACTGGAAAAGAAGCACAATTTGTTTTGTGTCCTTAGGAGTGGCGTGGATGGAGCCATTTGTATGTGTACCCTTGTATTCGTTTGTGACGAGTTGGTTTTCGACTAAGGCTCAGCAACCTCCGGCTGCAGAGTGAGCCGAACTGATCCGCTTGCTAAAGAGCTCTGGCACGCTGTTGCGACCGAAGGGCATAGGCTGTCTCAAGTCGAACTAGAGGGCACAGGTTTGGATTATTGTTGGCCTCATTGAGCAAGCTGACAGTCACCTCTGGCTGGCTCGAGTGCACGCCCTTCCATCATAGTGTAAGCTTTGCCCCATAACCATCTCAGACCGGGCGGAAGGCTTGGCCTTGATCCCCTTCACTTTCGATCCGGTCAATAAACGGCTTGTGTACCAACAAAAGTGCTGCTAACTGTTTGTTTGGTTTGCTTTGTGTTTGCATCATCATCAACAAGGTTCATGATGTTAGCGATATTCGTTGTGTGTGTGTCCGATGCTGCATGAGCGCACCATAGCGAAGGTTGATTCAATTTTGTTTCAAGTGAATGTTTTCTTCGCACTTGGGTCTTTTACATGTCCAGATGAGGCGCGGGTGATTTCATCAATTTCTGGCGAAGGTGTAGATTTGCCACTTGCAACATTCCTGGGCCGCGTGTTCTTGTATTTTGTGGCCGGTGGCTCAAGTCTACATGAGACCCGAGGGTCATCTTGCTTAAGCACTAGTGCTGCATGTTCAACGAGGTTGTCATGTGTGTCTATGCAGCAAATCCGCATTTTTAGCTGCAGAACCCCGTACCTACGTGTTCTCAACACCCGACGCCCTGTTACAGGCGCCGTCGCCATGTGTTTGGCCTTCGTCAACATAGCAAATGGGAGGTGGTCATCACTTGAAAGGGCTTAGTTGAAGCCTATGCAATCCTTAGTGACTTGCGATACTGACGATGTGATCTGTCAGATTGCGGACATTCGACTTTGACCGGACTCACCAACACAACACGTCTTGCACTATCGACAGCGAAAGTGTTTGAAGATGAGTTTGCCTTGCACAGGATGATGCTATGTTCCTGCCGCCATGTCTATTGAAGCTTTCCTTGAAAGACGTCGTGTAATGCCGTTGAGCAGTTGCTCTTGTCCGATTCGTTTGTAATCCCAGGTTCTGGCCTCCGCAAATCTCGACCAGGTAAAAATTTGCAACTAAAGCAATCGGGTGCTCTGTCATAACATGAGAGCTTCTCTGAGAGCGTTCTACACACAGCAAGAGAGGAAAGGCGCATCGAACCCAGAGAACGCTGCGGTTGTCACGATGGCAATGTTTCACCCAGTCGTCTCGGACTCGAAGAATCGAAGAATCAAGGAGAGAGAAAACACCTTTGCGTCAGTGTGACACTCCTTCCCATTGCAGCATTGCGTTCATCTTAGGGGAACGGTACAGGCAGTTCCGTTGGGATTTCAGGTATTCCCCCTCGATTTCTCACATTGACATGCTTTATTTGTGTCCAGAACCACTATCGGTTTTGCGGCTCAAAGTCTCAAAGTGCTGGCAACTGAGATTGTTTGTTGTTTTGGCATGCAACGTATCCAGATTTCATGATACTGAGAAGGTTCAAGTCACGGCACATAGCACCATACCACCAGGCGGGCGACACGCTACTTACTTGTTACGGCAGATGCATCCCACCCGCCAAGAACGCTGACTCGAGACTCCGCGACTGAGCTGCCATGCGGTTAGCTGGTGAGGGCCCAGAGCTATGGTGCGCGGCTTATGTGCATGGAAATTCATCCAGTGTTTTGAGTGTTTTGCTGCAGTTACCAGCTGAAACCTGAGGTCAGGGCAGCGCCTGATCATGATTTCGCGCGCAGATGAGCACCGCCCGCTTGCTCGGTTTGGTGCTACCGTGGCAATTGCTGAGAATGGAACAGCGGCGGGGCGCCTAGAGTCTTAGAGCTACACACTTCGACCTGAGACTCGGTGTTGCGGAGGTGCTCGTTATAGGTGGCATCGAAGGGCATATCATTGGAGGCCTGGAGCGGCAAGCTTGCAGAAGTCTCACTTGGCATGAGCAACTTATTTTGGCTTCGAGCTGCAGCAAATTGGGAAATTGGGAGGTGTGTGCCTGAACGAGATTTGGCGATTCGATGTCGACTTGGCTTGCTGGGAGAAGCTGCCTACGCCTTCCTGGAGTCCGCGCCGTGGCGCTGTTCCCGTTGTGATTGAAGGCGAGATGCAATGCACAATGCACGTGTTGCATATTGCATCTTGTTGCATCTTGTTGCAGACTGTTCAGATTGCAAATTGTAAGTGAACTTGCACTTGAGTCATTGAGTGCGCTTGCTCGGCTTTCTGTTTGCAGGCCAGCTTCTCCTGGTAGGTGGCACTGGCCTAGATGCCCGACCCCTTCGAGAAGTTTGGGCAGCTGAGTGCGACAGGCATAATGTGAGTGTGTGTGTGTGTGTGTGTCTGTGAAGAGCCCGTGTTCGAAGGAATTCTGAATTGATGTCTTGCGGGGGGAATGTTGCTTGTTGCTGGCGTTCTGTTAAAGTGGACAGACTACACAGTATACTCCAACGAATGAAGCTGGCTGCATTTCGCTTTGAGCTGCCTCGAGATGGCGTCCTACGACCTGGAAATCTATCACAGCGAATGCACCCTGGGCAGATGCGTCGCATGCTTTGTGGGTGGCTTGGCTGCACAGAGTCCAATGCCAGGCATCAGACACGGGGTCAATTTGTGGGAGCTTGTCTTTAGAGTTGAAAGAATGCTGACAATGCTCCACGGTGTAGGTGCCCAGATTCGATGGATCTGAATTTGGAGGCCAGTGCCTGATGAGGATGTTGCTGACGTGTCCCATGTTTTCCCCATGAGCACCCCTGGCTGGTGTGTGGTTCCAAACATGAATTCGACCATCCTCAAGCGCAGTGTCAGGCCTACTTTTGATCGACAGCTTGGGGGCACTATGGTGCAGCAGAGACAAGGGCAAAACGTGGACAATACTACTGGACCAGTTGCCTTTCGGCCGCGGAGCCGAACAGGCGCCACACTTCACGAGAAGCCGCGAAGCTGACTTTGTTGGCAGGTTGCCGCCATGAGATATTGCTGCAACTTCCTGGTGGTGGTTACCATGTCAACCAAAGTCTGGATATCAAAGGCCGGGATCGCCGCATGAGAAGCTCCTCATTTCGTGCAGCCAGGACGCAGCTGAATGGATCTCTGCTGATGGGGGTCGAGATCCTCATGGACTCGTGCTCGGAGACGCAGGTGCCCTTGAAGGTCCACCAGGCCGAAAAATGAGGCTTCTCACTGCTTTCAGAAATGCTTTCAGAAATGTCAAGATGCTTTCAGATGCTTTCAGAAGATTTTAAAAAATGCTTTAAGATGCTTTCAGAGATGCTTTAAGATGCTTGAGGCTTTCGGGTTGGTCCCATGTGCTTCCCCAGGCCTACGCTGCCAAGTGACAGATGTCGTTAGCTCCGACTCCAGCCATATGCTTGTGGTGGCGCGACATCGGGACACCTGCCAGCTAACGCTGTGGCAGCTGTCTATCACCCGCCAGGACGCGCTGGAGTTTCTTTGCATGCAGTGTTCTCGTGTTTCACATGGACGCTCAGATCGTCAGATAGCATGCAGGATCGGGATCGGGATCGGGATCGGCATGCTTTCTGGCGCTGCCTTGTACCACGAATCCAAATTTATCCAGGCCCGACTTCGAGCTTGAGCTCAGCTTAGTCCCAGGGCTCAGGTAGCCTCGGATCGGATCCATATCCTCCATCCTCCCTTTTGCAACTTTTGCAACTTTTGCCTTTATCCTTTGCATCCTTTTGCTTTAGCATCTTTTAGCCAAGCCTTTGAGCTTGTCTTTGAGGGCCCCCTGCAGGTTTTTCCTCGGTAAATCAGCTTGTTGCTGCTGCACGAGCAGAACTGGAGACACCTAACGGGCGTGAGATGCGCGCTGTGTGTCTTGGAAGCCTTGGCAAATCTTCGGTTTGCCTTGAGATTTCCAACTCAGTTTCAATCATTCCATGGCAGAAGCATCGCGCGAAGGTTCGTGGAGTTCAATCCCATCAACGAGTTCACTATCTGGCGCGCCAGTCCAGCTGCAGTGGATCAACACCGCGCCATGCTGGATCGCCTGGGAGCATCCCAAAGCAAAGTGGACCACTGCACTTGGCAGTGATTTAGTTGAATTCAGCGCCTTCAGTCCTTCAGTGCCATGAGTGTATGAGGGAATGCAGTCAGAGCAAAGCAGTGCAAGTCAGTGCAGGGAAGCAAAATATACATGCATATGACGGAGACTGCATTCAATTCGATGCCAAGGCTGCATATTATGGGTGCCTTGCTGCCGCAGATGGGAGCCGATTGGGTGCCTCGTGGACCGACCAAGCCGCCTCCCACTAAGATGGTGTGGCAGGATGACATTTGGACATACTGGCATTGAGCGTGCGTCTAATTAGAAGAGACATATGGTCGTGGCAGTATGGCTGCCTTTGTTTGGCTAATACTTGCAATTGCACGTTTCGCTTTCACTCTTGCAAACATTTGAAGCCGACGGTTGCGTCACAGAGCTTTTTGTGCTCGTGACTTCCAGGAACCTGCCTGCTTTCGATTCCCAAGCTTCCGTATTTCCTTATTCGGAGGCGCACACGGCTCTGTGCGCGGAAAACGCATCTCCCTGCCATGAGAGTCAATTGTGCCATCGCATTGCAATCATAGATATGCAGCCGACGAATGTGACTCCATGAATGCGCAACCTTTGCTCTCAAACATTCAATATCAAAGGCCTTTGTAGGCTGGGACCACCAATGGCCTCAGTGACAAGGCGCGTCGTTGGGTCTCTGGCCGAGGTTCTCCCTCAGACAATTGGAGGCGTCGAGCATCGCTTTTGGAGGAACAGGGCAACATTTTGGGAAGTGCTGCACACGAGTGCCAAGCATGGCGATGTGCGTCGGGTTCAAGCTTGGCTGACCAGGGCGGCTGAGGCAAATTTTCGAATAGGAACCAAGGCAAGCTCCTTGCAAATCACTGCGCTTGCAAGAGTTGCAGATGTCAAGGAGGCAGAGAAGGTGTTGCTTGACCTGATGCGGTCTCGGATGCACCCCGATACAGGGGCCTTCAACATGGTCTTGTCAGCATGCGCGAGAGCGGAGAATCTTGATTCGGCCTTGAAGTGGTTTCGACGAATGACACAGGCAAATCTGGCTGCAGATGCCGTCACTCACAACACTGTGATAGCCACGTGCACACGAGTTGGTAACTTGCCGCTTGCAGAAGAGTGGGCGAACAACATGGTGGATCAATCGATTGCGCTGAATGCGGTGTGTTGCGGCTCCATAGTTCTTGGCTACGCAAGGCAGGGGGATGGATATGGAGCACAGAAATGGCTGCGCCGCATGCTGGAATGGGGTCTGCGGCCTGGATCGCGGGCCTTCAATGCAGTGGTCTCCGTCTCAGAGCCTGCGGTTGCTGAGGCCTTTCTTTGGAAAGCCCTTGAGGCGGGTGCACAGCCCAGCGAAGCTGCGCTACAGAGGACACTCAAGGCCTTCGTTGAGGTTCAAGATTGGGAGGCCTGCGAGCGATTCAAAGGCCTTCTGCGACACCTCGGGCATTGGCCCAGCGCTTGGGCCGTTGCCCTGCTTTCCAAGCCCCATGCAGCAGCTGGGGATTTCACAACTGTGGAAGAGCTGATGGCAGAACTCCGCACTCAGATTCCCTCTCAAGCTGCTGACAAGTTGGACGATCGCGTGGGAAGTGAGGATGCCTTGGATCTCGATGTTGATTGCTTGAAGGCTTTGCTGGCTGCATACGCACGCGCAGCCCAACCCTTCGCAGATCAGCGCGTCGAGGTGTGTGTTGAACGCCTTTTGTCACGTGGCGTGCGGGACGCAGCTACCTTGGGCGATGCACGGCGCGCACTTGGCAAAGAGAAGTATGATTGCCTGGCACACACCTTCGGCTTGACAGTGAGGCCTGACATAAGTAGGAAGCGCCATTCACGGAGCCGAATCGTCGGGACTTGGGGAGAGATTTCTCCGTGCTGATCTACTTCATCGGCATTGTGGGCAAGCAAAGTGTGTGCCACCAGATGCTATTTATGAAATTTATGCCTTTGTGCCGTTTGTGCAATCTACACCGGGCTGAGGTATATGAGTCTTGTATGAGGTATGGTTTGTTTCACGCGTGGATTGCATTGAAGCTCCGTGGTCTCCCAACCTGGAAGGCCGAAGGGCCGCACCCAGGGACCCAGGCAACGGGAACGCCTGCGAACAGAGCCAAGGAAGCCGACACTCGTCCGGACCCGTTGCCCTACTGCCAAGCACCGCCAAGCGTTCAATGTCTGCGGCTTGACATCTACCCATCCACGCGCACAAGCGCCGCATGGCCATCTCGCCCACTGTGACTTTGCCTGAAAGATGCGGAGCATCAGAATGTCGCTTGCAATAATAACTCCGCGTTGCAGCAGAAACCAAAAAGTATGATACATGTCACACTCCTTGTAGCTTCCGTGAGGATCCTCAAAGAAAGGAATTTGGTAGGAGTATCAGGACATATAGGCCTGAAACTCCCCAAAAGAGGTGTCATCCGATTCCATGTCGAAAAAGTAGCTGTACATTGTGTCCTGGCGCGGCATCAGAAGAAGCTGATGCAACCACTGCATTTGCAGGAGTGCATTGTTGCCGGGGCAAATTGTTAATACGGTCTTTCCACTTCCATCTGCGGTTGCAAACAGTGCAATGCAAAAGACCCTCTTCTGGAGAGCCTGGGATTTTCCCAAACTTCTCATTCCATACAAGTTGATGTCGATGCTAATTGTATTTGCGCTCAAGGTTGGCTCGAGCTTCTGCAATCTGATTAGGGTTACCACGATGCCCTTCTTGCGCAAGCAGTTGATCATCGGAGAGGTGCGCAAAAGCGCATACGGTCTTTGTAATCTTGAGTCTCAAATGTTTAGCGTTGCTGGTGTACTTGCCACAACGCTGACACCAATAACCGCCTTGGGGCCGCACTGCCACAAGGTGTCCGTTGACTATTGCATTGGTTGGAGCCAATTCGGGAGGTTCGTGAGGATCAGGGTCAGCCGTTGGGCGCTGTGGTTCATCAACTCCATACCAAGTGCGAATTCGGCATTGCCAAATATCAATAAACATTTGGTGTAAAGCAGCAATAGCATCCAAAGAGAGGGGTGAGGTCTTGACAATAATCCCCGAATACTGGGTGCACATAGGTAAACTATTAGGCGCATCAGGGCAAAGCTGCAAAAAGGTCTGGCGCAGATGCGAATATTTCGGACATGTCCAATGCAAAACCGTGGCTGTCCCATGGCCGCACTCACAAGGCACATCTTGTGCACGTGCTTTCTGCTTATGCTGTGTGATCCTGTCTTCTGTGAGTAAACCACCAGCAAGGGCACGTCGCAGTATTGCAAGCTGCGCAGGTATGTCAGTTACCTCTATCTGTTGCGCGCGTTGTTGCAAAATTTCAAGATAAGAAAGTGTTGGGTGACGATCTGCATTTTCCACACCGGCATAATGCGTTGCTCGTAGCAGGTGCTGTCTCCAAGCTTCACGCATGTCGTGTTGCCATTGTTCCTTGTCGTTCACGTTGCCTTGGAGCAAACGAGTTGCTTCTGCCAAGGGTCCGTTAAGGATTGAATTACTCTAGCTGGAGCATCTTGAGCTGGTGGAGCGGGTATCTGTGCAACATGCTGCAGACGTTGCAACATGTTGCAACTGTGCGTTGGTGGCATACCTACAAAGTACCCGAAGTGTGTAGTACTCGTGCGCAAAGAAAGGGTCACACTGAACTGGAAGAAGCAAAGCAAGTGTAACATGTGGTGACATACTGTAAAACTCGGTGGCCCAAGCTGCTTGCATAACTTTGGTTCGCAATTTGGAGAGTGTAGCAGGGCAAACCACTTGAATACTGAGGCCATACAAAAACTGCATTTGAGTACTCATGATGGCATGAGCACGCTCCCGCCATGGCACAGGCAATTTCGCAATTTTGCGTAGAGTCGCGGTCCAGGTGCATGCCCGCGCAGTCTCAATGTCGGTAGGAGTGGTAAGCTTGTGCCTGGTAGTGAATGCGCCACCAACAATACGAAAGCTCTCTCGGTGTGTGCTGAGGTTATCAAGTTGATTTTGCACGCAAGTGTCACCAAAAGTGAAAGATTTGTTGGTATTAAGTTGGGCGCCGCTGAGACGCGCGTACGTGCAGACTTCTGCATGAAATTCCTGAATGCCTCGCACAAGGGGGCCCGGCGCGTCGCAAGCTGTAGTAGATGAAATGTCATCACAGTAACTGGCGCCTGGTGCCGCATGGGGCTTAGCCGCAGTAGTTTCTAACATAGTGGTGATCAAACTATTTAATAAAAGCATTGAGAGTGGACAGCCTTGTAGAATTCTATTGAAATTGCGCCACCAGTTGCCGTGGTGTCCTTGCTTGCGAAAACAGCGTCGAATATCTTCATAAAAAGTGTGCATGGGGGTCAAGAGCAAGTCACTAGCACCTCTGAGTTTCATGACATGAATCGCCAAGGGAACGCTGATCATATCGAAGGCCTTCATAAAGTCGTAGCTGACACCACCAGTGTGGCATGCGCCTTCATGCATTGCGGGGTCTAAAACGAGAGCGGACTGCCCGTGAGGATCCTCAAATCCTGCTTGCTTGATGTTGAAGTGGGGTGGTGTCACCTTCACAGGCACAGGCAGTAAGCGCGGTGTGTGGCAAGTGAAGCAGGTTTGCTCTTCTTTTGTTTCCGGCGTCAAATACACTGGGCCCGGCCCGCAGCCCTGAAGAGTTGTGGCTCAAAGAAGCATGTGCAATGGACCAAGATGTACAAGCGGAAGGTTCTTCAATTTCTCAGCAAGTGCCTTCCTTGGACATGCACACTTCATGCTGGCAAAGCCAACAGCTCATGTTCAGGTACATCCGCGGTCTGAATTCAGATCAAGTCTCTTCAAGTAGCTTGGGTGCACATGTGTTCAGGTTAGCACTAAACATGTTTAGTTGCAATAAAGCAGGCCTGCGTAAGCTGAACATGCAGGCGTGTAAGCGCGCACGCACAAGCGCGTTGCGAGTTTCCTTGCGTAAGCTGTGCGTAAACCAAATGTACCGAAAAGCTACACCTTATTCAGGCGGAGCGTGCTCGAAACCCGTATCACAGTCCCGGCATGGCCTGGCCATGCGGGATGGCTTTCGCAGGAACTCCGCGCAAGCTCTGCGGAAGCCGCGGGAAAGCTTCGGCTTCCAAGCGTGATCCTGGGACTCTGCGAAGTACTTTGCGTACGTTTGTACTGCTTGAGCCACAAATCCCGTATTGAATCGCACTTCGAGCACTTCCTTCAAGCGCTTCGAGCGCTGTGGTATGCAAAAATCTAAGCACGGCTCTCGAAAGCATCGCGCAGGCTCTGCCATGAAACGCGCGTAAGTCGCGCGAAAGCGCTCGCTAAGCAACTTGTCATTGAGGGATCTATCAATCTACTTATGGCTATGCATGGCTCAGGCAGCTGCCCAATTTTCAAGAGTTCAATCAGAGCTGATGCCCGAGGACTCTTTGCCGGTGAAGTTGAGCTGAGAGATGCCGAGCTGGAAGTTGAACCTTTGAATAGCTTGCTGGCCGGCATCCTGCCGTATACTGTGCAGGCAGCTTGCCACTAAGCCCCCATTCACGGCAAATGAGCATAGCTTTGCTTTGCATTAGCTTTGCATTGATAGACCTGCGAAGGTGCTGGCAGTATCATGCGACAAGCTGCTCGTGCAAGTGCCTTGGAGTGGGCTTCGCACAAGGCCAGTACATATCCGTGTGGGTCACATGCGCGCGCAGGCGGGGGCGTTTTCTCGCGGACGGTTTGACTGTTAAGCTGTTGAGCTTTTTGACCTGAAGAAAACGTGCGTCAACCTTGATTGAGATACTTGCGAGGTACGCATCCACAGTCCCTCAGACGTCAGCTGGGCCGAAGCTGTGGCTGAGGCCACATTTGTGGCTGCTCACAAAAAGCCTGCTTCCAAGGAGCTCCAGACTCGCTGAAGTTCTATGAATTTCAGCTTCCTGCTTGCAGTTTTTGTGGTTCTCGCCTGGTCACTCTCAGGAGCAACAGAGCTACAGACTTTCTGAGACTGGGCAAGATGATTCTGTCAGGCATTGCTTGAGTGCGTTTGCAACACCATTGCAGAGCATGATTGAGGGGTGCAGCTTGAGCGGTTTCTTTGAGAGCAAAACGTTCTTCTTGCCAATGCGGAGGAATGTGGAGGAGACTACAGGGTATGTGCAAGTAAGTTGTATATGTCTATGATTGTCACTGTTTATTTGCAGATGTGGTTCGGCTGATTTGGTTCTTTCAAGGCAACTGCCCCCGCCGTCGAAGCCAAGCTGCAAGTGACACGCCTCTCTGAAGCCTGCCCCGCTTCGCTTCTTCTCTGCCATGGCCCTAGAGCAGCACAGAGGACTTGGAGGAAGCTGAGCTCTGGCAAGCTGACGAAGTGGAGCTGTGGACGAACGACCCCCAAGACCTGTGCGCCTTTGAGACGTAGCCGCAAATCGGAGCGCTCGGAAGGTCTGTGGCATCTCGGAGACGGCGCTTTGTGAAGGGCTTCGTCTCCCCGGCCGCTTTGGCAGTGGCCCGTGGCAGCCCGCAGCCCGCAGCCCGCAGCCCGATGGCCCGGCCTTGGAAAAGTGCCTTCGAAACGCCGTGGAACGGGCGACCCGACGCCGGATGTCGCGAGTCGCGAGGCTGGCGGAGGCCGGAGGCGGCCGGGCACCCGCGACTCCGAGAGGTGAAGCTCATGGCGAAAGCTGCGAGTTGCACTTTTGGACTTCGCCTGAAATGAGGGACACGCCGAGAACCCAATTGTTTCAGAGGCAATGCGGACTAGAGGAAGGTGTATTTTCAATTTGCCCCACCGGCAAGGGAACCAGCCTACAAACAGTGTAGACTGAGCTTGATCGACCGCGGTGCTGGTGTATTTGTGTAGAGCGCTAAGCTGGTCTTCAGCCTTGCACTAAGTTACACCCCGTGGACAAAACGGCTGGGGCGGCTGGCAGCAGCGCAGGTCAGGTGCCCTCACTCGCTTGGTTCTGCCCGCTGGATCTCTTGGCAGGCAGTGAGGGAATGACTCCAACAACAATCAACTCAAAAAGGTGTTTCCCCTCAAAGGCATCTCCAGGTCGATTCTCAAAATATTTTCCTGAGAACAATCATTTGGATGAGTTGGATGGTGTTTTGTGTAAAGAGCTTTCCCTTGCACCTAAGGATGTGAAGGTTGCCGTTTTGGACGGCCTGCACATCTCAGTTGCCTCCATCCACCTACTCTGCACTCAAGAGACATCATCTTTGTCTCTTGGCCGCCAGCCGCTGCCTTGTGCACTTGGATGTGGGATGCGTTGAGTAGATGTGCAGGTTCGCGTTCGAGTTTGAGCTGGCTGGGGTATCCCTCGAGCCGGTGCCTTGCATCGAGGACTGGGCGGTCTATTGAGTGCTTATGCTTGGGATGGTCATCAATATTCTAATGTTCCTGTACAATGCCACCTAAATCAAGACACGACATGCTGAATCCCTCCCAGGAGAGTTCTCGGAAGTCCAAGTTTCGGCTTCGAGGGTGCAGCTGGTCAACTTTGAAGCGCCGCATATCTTTGCAGCAATTGCGATTGGCAGCAGCCCGATTGACCAGCAGAAATCAACCTCCAGCTCTTCTATGTCTCAGCGACTGCAGTTTTCTGACTTCAGCAAGTTTGTTTTCTTTGTGTTGGCCAGGCCAAGCCATGTCAGTTTTGGTGCATCAAGAGGCCTGGGATCCTACAGCATCAGCTACAGCGCGCCCATGCACGATTTGCTTCAACGAAGAACCAAAGCAGACGCAGTAGCAGTACAAAGAACAAAGCGCAAGGAAAGAAGAGCAGCTCAAACTCCTGTCAGTTAGTTTGACTTTGGTCTGGGGCCACACGTGAGCAAACACGCGCCTAAGGCATGAGATTGCCTAAAGCAAGGGCCTTGAGGTGGATGCGTGGATGCCCCTGCTGTTGACATGTATGGTGATAGTAAAGACTTGAGCAGTCGCTGGACCTCATTCGCTTGCGTTGGTCCGTTTGTGGTGCGCCTGCCGATGCTTTTTCTTGATCTGCTATGGTGTAGTAGTTGGACCACTATGTGCAGACGTTTGTAGGGAGCTCCCGTGTTTTCTTCATGTTGTGAAAGTCAGATATGATGCTTCCCAGATACTTGACCACATCTCTAATATGCATTTGAACTGCATTGCAAGACAGCAGGTCTTGAGCTTCAAGCAGTGACAAAACGTGCGCTTACACGAGCTATGGAGAGCTGTTGTTGCGTAAGCATGAATCGACCTCACGTGTAAGGCAAGTACTCTCGTGGGCTGTGCCAGGATGCGAGTGAACAGCACTGCCAGTAAAAGCATGCCTTCCGCTAAGTGGGTAAAGTCCATGCAAGTGGTAGCGAACGTTCAAGTGCGCGTCCTTGTTCACCACGAGACGCATCTCCCCATGTTTGTTACTTGACGCGGAGCTGTTTTACTTCACATTGTGTGAATCCGCAGGGGGCGGTGCTTGTTGTGTTTTCCGTGCTTGTTTCTGTGCAGTATGAGCCCTATGGAAGGTGACAACAGCGGTGCATTTGACGCATTGCCACCGTTGCATTGTGTTTTATGAACACGTCGCCCAGCAGCTTGAAATGTTGTTTCCAATTCGAGGCAGATTGATTTTGCCAGTTCCTTTGCCCTAGGTTTGGAATTATTGGAGGGCAGGGACGTTGGCCGGAGGAAGGATCGCCGCAATGGATCTGCACGTGTGGCTTTGATTCCTCGCGAGATTCGTGGAAGCCTCACCTTGCCAAGAATAGAGGTACATTTTGGGCATCCCGAGATCATGGGCCTTTTAGGGCTGGCCAAGGAAGCTCTGCAGCCTGTTTGTCCGCCAGAGGAGTTGTTGCCAGCAGCTGCTCGGGAGCGACTGCAAGCGATCCGAAGGCCTCGCGACGGCACGGCGGCGCGCACGAGGCGCACGAGGCGCACGGCCCATGCCGCCGCTGCCGCCGCCGCCGCTGCCGTGCGCGCGGCCGGAGCTGCCGGGACGGCGATGGGCACCGCGGTGGCAGCGGTGGCGGCGCGGGACGCCCGGCGCAGTGGCCAAGCCGCCGAGAGGGCCCTCAGCTTCTTCCGGAAAAAGGCAGTTGGAAGCACTGCAACATCGCAGTTGGAAGCACTGCAACTTCGGGAGGAGCAGGAATTGCGGGAGGCACTGGCTCTTTCCATGCAGGAGTTTGAACACTCCCAAGTCGACCAAGATGTCGAGTGTTTGCCAGAAGAGCATGACCTGGACATTCCAGAGGGAAGCGTTTCCGCTGAGGATCATGACCAAGACGGGAGTTTGCTTGGCACATCCTCCGAGGACGATGCTTTGGAGGAGTTTCAAGAAGGGGACTCTATGGTCAACAAATCCTCATTGAGCTCGCCTCCGATGGGACTGCGATTTCTGTGCATGAATGTATCTATCGGCAAGCTGAACTTGAATCTCTCCATCAAAGACAGGGCAGATGGCTTTTGTCTTGAAGCAAGCGGCCTCAGCATGTCAAGCGAAACATTTGTCCACTTATTGACGGCAGAGGTACCATGCCTGCAACGCCTCGGAATCCTGCCAGATGGGCATCAGGCGAGCGCAGTCAGTCACAGCACCAGTTGCTGCGTTACGATTTGCTCCGCCGAACTGCACTTGCTTGGAAGGGATGGAAAGGATGGAAAGGATGGAAAGGAGAGGCCACAGCTTTTGCTTGGAAAGCGCACCCTCAAGGCTCCCTGGATGCTGACAGCACGCCTGGCTGCCGAATCGCAAACGCTTGGCGTTGGCTCGGACACCAGACTCGAGGCCGACGCATTGCATGAACTCACTTTGGAGGGCTGCCTCCATGGTGTGAAAGTTTGCCCTGAGCTCTGCCTGGATGTACTTCAGCCGACCTTGGAGATGTTACGGGAGCTGCTCGCCACTGCGCGTGAGGTGCAGCCAGCCAGCCACAATGGCGCACAGCACCATTTTCACCCAGTGATCTCGTTGAGTTTTCGTGACACTGTAATTGACCTGTCGTCAGTCTCTCCGCATCCTTTGAAGCCGTTGCGAGTGATCATTCCGAGCCTGAATATCAACGTGGCAGAGATGGGCTCATTCAAACCTCCACCGGTGCCACAGTGGCATTCTTCACCCACTGACATAGACAGTGCTTCCGATGCGCACCACTACACGTGCCTTTGCTCAACAGAGGATCTGAAGCGAAGCCACACTTGGGAAGTGCTGGTGACTGAACGGCAGTGGCAAACGACATGCAGCAGAGGTGACAGAGAATATGAGATCAAGGCGCATGGGGAGCATCCGGACCATTCGGAGCATGTGCTTGTGCCTTCGGAGCATTTGGGAGAGCATCTGCTGGTGCCTGCTTTGGAGATTCTGATGCTGTCTTCTTCGAAGCTCAAGGCTTTGGAGCAACTGCAGGCGTGGGAGGATATGGCGGAAAGGCAGCACGCTGCCAGCAGCATAAATGTGCAGAAGGACCTGGCCCGGCGTATCCCGGTGGTGCTCGAGATGATGATGGCAAAAGGAGAGGAGAGCATAGAGAGAGAGAAACGAAGCCAAGAGAGTAAAGAGAGTGAGGGCGGGCAGGGCGGGCAGAACGGGCTGCGTGCACAATTGGAGGCGCTGCGGGGTGAGCTAAGAAGTTTGGATGCGGAGCGGCGCGAGAGCGAGTTGCAGCTCAAGGATGCTGAGCGCGAGGCGGCCTTGGCCTTGGCTTTGCTGCGGGCAGAGAAGCTGCAGAAAGAGCAGCGGCTGCAGCAGCAGCTGCAGGAAGAACAGGAAATCACCCAAGCACTTGCTAGGCTGGTGGAACAGCAACACGCAGCTATTTCAGCTATTTCAGCTATATCTGTTGCCTCAACTTGAGTGGTTGCTCTTAGTGGACCCTTGGATGTATGCTTCAACGCACTGAAGAGCACGAAGAAGCTCGGTATTTGGCCTCGTGATGTTGAGCGGGATGCCGTGCCTGATCGCAACAAGTGCTGGGTCGTACATTTTTCAGCTGACTTTGCTGCCACGTGGATGCATAACTTAGGATTGCGTTCCAAACGTTTTTTGTTGTTGTTGTTTTGTTTCTTTGTTTCTTGTTTTTTCTTTGTTCGATCAGTCACCTGAGACTCACGTGAGTGTTGATCAAAGTCATGTTCTGATCAGGGGCAAAGTGGGCAACATGAAGGACAAGATCCGACAACGGAGTGCCAGCAGCATGTCATAGCATTACTGCACATGGACAAGTCTCACACTATTGACAATCCAGCGATCAAAAAAGGCGCAGACTGCGGCAGAGTTGCATTACCTTGCAACAGTGTGTCCGATCACAAGCAAATCAGCATTGCAGCTAGCATAGGGCACAAGCACATTTCAAAAGCAGAACTCATGCCATGGCAAGCCATGGGTTGCACTTTTCACGGGCCCTATCCATGCAATGTACATGACCTCATTCATGGAATCGGAGACTTCAGAAACTATACTGCAAAAGCAATGAAATTAGCAATACTTGAGAAGCATTGTTCCAGACATCCGTCGATGTCCTACTATGGCTGACGCCTCGGAATGCGTTCAGTGCACAGCTTGAGCTTTAGCTTTCAGAGCCAGATCAAGTCGCAACAAGTTGTGTGTGAAGAATTGCATATGAATTGCATTGCTCTCCGGGTCCTCCCCCTTGAAAGAAGCAGGAAGTAGTGGCCAGCACTCAGGAGCCAACAAGCATGCTTGGCTCTCAGACAACAGGGCGTGCCTGGTAAGTGGTGCATGGATTGTCAAGACTCACCATTTTGCGCATGTACATTGCGTCCAAGGCAAACTGGGAATCCTGGCGTTCTTTTGCCATGATCTTGGAAGCTGTGTATGGTGTTCAGATATGAGAGGCTGAGGTGGCCGTGCACGAGTTTATGTTCCAATCTTGCTGTTTGTGAAATGGCAAGCCATGTTGTGGACCGACGGACCGAGTATTCTGAGCGTGAGGCAAGTAGGTACCAAGTTGCCGCAAGCTGTTAATCAAACTTACGTCACAGCAATGAAGCAAACTTGTTCTCGGCTGTGGGGGACCTGGGCTGATCTCACCCAGTTTCTTGCCACCCCACCAAGCCACAATCAACTCCTGGGCACTCCAGGTGCAGGCTACGTGACAATCCCAACCATGCCTAGCAGCGACTTCTCTCTTGGTTCTTGACTGTGGTCAAAAGCTTACGATCACTTTAACAAGGTTGGCAGCGAAATGCAAAGCGGCGAGGCCACCACCAAACCCTAAGACTTGTGCGAGGCTAGACTCTCCGCCCTGAAACATTTGCGCGGTGAGATCGCCATCGGCAAACCGAAAAAGAGCTATGCTTTTGCGCTGCCAAGTTGCGACTTTGGAGCCGGAGTTGCAAAAGTGCACCGCGTGTGCCGCTTTGAGTGACAAGTAGGGACTTTCGAGCCAGTTAAAAAAGTGCACTTCCTGACTGCTTTTGAATACTGCAAGACTGCAAGTAGCGAGTTCTCCAGCACTGCGAAAAAGCGGGCTTCGACGGCATCGAGCAACTATTGAGCTGGTGGACATCACAGCCGCCTTTTGACTGAACGCTTGCAGCCAGATGCAGCGAGGACGTGCTGGCGCAGCATCTTTCACCGGCAAGCTTGCATGGCGACCGGGAACCCCATTCTTCAACCCTTGGAACGGATGACCGAACCATCGTTTTGCACAAAAGGCAGTCCATGAACACACCAGGGTCTCTCAGAAATTACTTAACTAGCCAGCAGAAAGAGCGAGCAGAGGCCACTTTTTCACAGCAAGTGGAGGCTTTGCCCTTCAGTTCGCGGGTGCCCGAAGAGCTACCGTGGAAGGCCCTTCTTAGCCCCGAACAGACTCGTGGAGCGCTTCACGTACTACCGACACCAAAAGCTGTAAATGTCTAGCTGGAATTGCGGAGGCGCACTTTTTGCTCTATGTGCTGAAAAGCTGCAACCTTGCAGCTTGAGCAGCCTTTATATTGAGAAGCTGCGACTTTCGAGCCGGAATTGTACAAGCACGCGCTGCGGGTACTGCTTGCAAGCTAGCGTGTGGAAACACTCTAAACTCTAAACTGATAAGGGCCGCCCAGAGCTCATAGGGCTAACGAGTCTCCTAGGCAAGCTATGGGTCTTGACAATCTCTCATCCTTTGGCTGAAGTTAATTAATTCTAAGATGTGCGAGTGCCAAATTTGGTTGTAACGAGATGCGGTAAGCATGTGCTGGCATGCTTTCTTCCCTAGGGCGGCGCCACAGGATTTTGGCTGTATCTTGAGCAATCTTTACCAGCTGCACGAGAGGGAGTTTATGGCGCGAGAAGTCAAGTTCCTTCCAGCCCTTCAATAATTAAACTAACATACGATGGCCGTTTGAGCAACAAAAGCTGCCAATGTGGACTTGCCCAGGGCTCGTCAGTAGCAGTTGACGTCGCAAAGAGAAAGCCGGCCTTGTCCAGCGCAAGTGTAGAGTGAGAGACACTTTCTTTCGCCACATTGTCGCAAATGCCGCGCAGCTTGGCAAACCCAACCCTCTAACCCTAAGCAAGTGCGTTTGAGATTGCTGAATTATATGGCCAGTTGATGAATATGGAAACAAGCATCCTGAGTTATGCGAAGTTGACTTGAGTTCAGTGGTAAGGCGTGGAGCAACGGCTGGAATTCGCAGGCTGGAGTCTCGCATGTCCCCAATCCAATTCTAAAGAGCCCCAAGGGCCCCAATCAAGCCTTAACAAAGCCCATTCAGGACACATTCGAATGTCTTTTTGCTGAGTGTCAGATGTATGCGGGCCCGGAGATCGGGATGGAAGTGACCTCCAAGCAAGCCTGCAGGCTGGTCCAACGAGGCTCGAGAAGGAGTGGTGGAAGCGCCCTCAGCAATGGGCGATCGATCCACGTATCATGATTTCAGTATCTGAACCATTCTGCTTTCAACGAAATGGAAGAGACCGAAAGGGGCCACGGCCAACGGCCAACTCTCGTGGCCGACGCCGGAATTCGATGGCCAGGGCAGTTGATATAGGGCAGCTTTCTCAGCGAAACTTAGGTGGGACCAATCTGGCGGGAATGGCGGGAATGGTGCAAGTAACGGAGGCAGCGGCTTGCGACATGTTACGGCAAATGTGATTCTGCTGGGAGCAGTGACTTCATGCCAGAACAGTAGAAGCAAGTAAGCTTCCAGCTGTCATGTCGTGAGTCGCTGCGCTTAAATTTGATGGCCAGGCTGGCATGATGAGCAGCAGAGCTGGTGACCAGCGTCAGCAAAGTATTCCGAGTCTTAAAAGTTTTACACTGGTTGCTTTTGTATGCTGTTGTGACGATCCAGCTGTCCCACACGAGCGGTGTGAGCGCAAGCTGAGCAATCATGATTCAATCAGTTCTGCGGTCGTGTCTTTGGAGGGCTGCTTCTTAAGAAGGATAGGACTTTGCAACATTGCCATAGGTATGCCAAGAGAAGCACACCTAGAGAAGCAGCGCAGAAGGCTGGAAACGCATTGCTTGCTGAGCCAAAAACACCCACCAGCTTGTCTTGCAACTTGACTGGCTTGCCCTGTCCGAGATGTTGCAAGCGAGCGCACCATGGCGTCAAACTTTACAGCCTCCGGCTCAGTCCGCCGACCTTGTCCTCTCCCTTTTCTCCTTCTTCCTGTCTCCCTTGTCTCCCTTGTGTGTTCTGTCGTCCTCTCTCCCTCCCTCTGCTCCCCATCCTCCCCATCCCCCCAAGCCTCTCTCTCCCCAATCTCCCTCTCTCGTATGTATGTATGCATGTTTATATGTATGTATGTATGTATGTATGTATGTATGTATGTATGTATGTATGTATGTATGTAATGTATGTATGTATGTATGTATGTATGTATGTATGTATGTAATGTAATGTAATGTATGTAATGTAATGTAATGTAATGTAATGTAATGTATGTATGTATGTATGTATGTATGTATGTATGTATGTATGTATGTATGTATGTATGTATGTATGTATGTATGTATGTATGTATGTATGTATGTATGTATGTAATGTATGTATGTATGTATGTATGTATGTATGTATGTATGTATGTATGTATGTATGTATGTATGTATGTATGTATGTATGTATGTATGTATGTATGTATGTATGTATGTATGTATGTATGTATGTATGTATGTATGTATGTATGTATGTATGTATGTATGTATGTATGTATGTATGTATGTATGTATGTATGTATGTATGTATGTATGTATGTATGTATGTATGTATGTATATGTATGTATGTATGTATGTATGTATGTATGTATGTATGTATGTATGTATGTATGTATGTATGTATGTATGTATGTATGTATGTATGTATGTATGTATGTATGTATGTATGTATGTATGTATGTATGTATGTATGTATGTATGTATGTATGTATGTATGTATGTATGTATGTATGTATGTATGTATGTATGTATGTATGTATGTAATGTATGTATGTATGTATGTATGTATGTATGTATGTATGTATGTATGTATGTATGTATGTATGTATGTATGTATGTATGTATGTATGTATATGTGTATGTATGTATGTATGTATGTATGTATGTATGTATGTATGTATGTATGTATGTATGTATGTATGTAATGTATGTATGTATGTATGTATGTATGTATGTATGTATGTATGTATGTATGTATGTATGTATGTATGTATGTATGTATGTATGTAATGTATGTAATGTATGTATGTATGTATGTATGTATGTATGTATGTATGTATGTATGTATGTATGTATGTATGTATGTATGTATGTATGTATGTATGTATGTATGTATGTATGTATGTATGTATGTATGTATGTATGTATGTATGTATGTATGTATGTATGTATGTATGTATGTATGTATGTATGTATGTATGTATGTATGTATGTATGTATGTATGTATGTATGTATGTATGTATGTATGTATGTATGTATGTATGTATGTATGTATGTATGTATGTATGTATGTATGTATGTATGTATGTATGTATGTATGTATGTATGTATGTATGTATGTATGTATGTATGTATGTATGTATGTATGTATGTATGTATGTATGTATGTATGTATGTATGTATGTATGTATGTATGTATGTATGTATGTATGTATGTATGTATGTATGTATGTAATGTATGTATGTATGTATGTATGTATGTAATGTATGTATGTATGTATGTATGTATGTATGTATGTATGTATGTATGTATGTATGTATGTATGTATGTATGTATGTATGTATGTATGTATGTATGTATGTATGTATGTATGTATGTATGTATGTATGTAATGTAATGTATGTATGTATGTATGTATGTATGTATGTATGTATGTATGTATGTATGTATGTATGTATGTATGTATGTATGTATGTATGTGTATGTATGTATGTATGTATGTATGTATGTATGTATGTATGTATGTATGTATGTATGTATGTATGTATGTATGTATGTATGTATGTATGTATGTATGTATGTATGTATGTATGTATGTATGTATGTATGTATGTATGTATGTATGTATGTATGTATGTATGTATGTATGTATGTATGTATGTATGTATGTAATGTATGTATGTATGTATGTATGTATGTATGTATGTATGTATGTATGTATGTATGTATGTATGTATGTATGTATGTATGTATGTATGTATGTATGTATGTATGTATGTATGTATGTATGTATGTATGTATGTATGTATGTATGTATGTATGTATGTATGTATGTATGTATGTATGTATGTATGTATGTATGTATGTAATGTATGTAATGTATGTATGTATGTATGTATGTATGTATGTATGTATGTATGTATGTATGTATGTATGGGTTTTCGCAATGAGGACGTCCAAAAACACAGAGTTTTCCAGATTTTCGGCAACAGGAGGCAGGAAGCCCAAGCCAGCAAAAAAGCCGGCAGGGGGAATCGAGCCTGGGACCCCTGTTTTGCGACACAGGCTCCCCGAAGACTACTTTTAGTGGAACGTCATCAAATAGCCGCGCGGTCGGAGGGGGAGGGGGGGGGGGGTGAGACCCACTGCCCCACATACCCATCTCCCTGGAGGGAACTGGAACCCTGTGGTAGTTGAGGTCGTTGTTGGTCCCTGGATCTATTCCGGAGAGAATCCAACATGCCAGTGTGGATGATTGGAGGATGGATTGTCCCTGGTGGATTGTCTTGTGGATAATCCTGTAAGCGGCCTGCTGAGGCTCTTTTGTCACACGCTATCACGGATGATTGTGATCTACAAAAGGGGCCCTTGAGCCAAATGTTGCGGGAGATCAATGGTCTGAAAAACAGAACACAAAACAGACACAAATTTCTTTTGATCTCCAGCACAAAGTTATGAAATACTATTGGCTTCATGGCCTTCATCCTTTTCTGCTCGGATGAAATGTCTTGGCCTTCGAAATGGGAAACACTATGTACTGCTTCTTTTTGGATACCTAGATGTATCAAGGGGTGATGTACAACGCTATGTACACGCGGAACGATTGTGAAACTATTGATCCCTCACTCATGGTATAGTCTTGTAGACGACGAGGATCAATCATCTGAATTGTTCGTGGTGCTGAACGTATGAATATTCATGGTCAGTCGGCGGCTGCTGTCGGATTGACTGCCATAGTCCCCATAATCATTCCAGGTCGAGGTGCTATAGTCCTTCCACTGCTTCTGATGTCCCCACCTGCAGGGGTCCAGGATGATTGTTTCTTCTTGATATACTCCTGGTATCTCTCAGAGCTGCGTTTACTGGTTGCAGATTTGCTGCGGATGTAAACCATGAGAGGACTGTGGGAGTCGGAGTCCTGCGAGCCATTCATGAACATTTCATTGTTCACGTGCTTATAGCGCTCTGCGGATGAGACCTGGTAATCGAATATGGCCTTGGTTGGATGGTTCCGCATGAATTCCAGTTGTTCATCATCCACGCCGTTCATCTCGTCCTTCCGGAAATCCTGCTGGATGTTCGTTTTGCCCCATGCAAATACGATAGTCATCATCACATCTGGGAATGTTCGATCATATCCTGATCCACATTTCATGTACAGGTGATGACGGACAATGGATTTCAGGGTGCGCGAAGTCTCCATTGCATACGCCATTCTGTCCACGAGTGGAAAATTCTTCGTTTCATTCCACAGTCTCTGATATGCTCTCATGAGGATGTTCACGAGACCGTTGGCCGGATTGTAGACGTGCTGGATTTGTTGGCGTCTCCAGTGATCGCATCGCATCGGTACAAGGTCACGAGCGGCATGATTGCATTCTGAAGATCTTCCTTTGCTGCTCCATGGCTAATTTGAAGGATGGATGTGGAAGACTCCAATGGTTGCCCTCGTTATGTGGCGGCCGTCATACTCGTGGAGTGACTTGTTGGATGATTTCGGGATCATGCCACGAAACTCATCACTCTGCTCGATGTGGAGAACGACGATCTCCTTGTCTCGGCCATGTCCTTGGACAATGGTGCGTGTTGGCAATCTCGATCCAATGTACTTCTTGGATTCAGTAAACATGGATGGTCCTGTGGTTGCCAAGCAATCCGAGGTTGGAATTTCGTATTCGGGATCAGTGCAACTTCCTTCAGTTCCGAAGAAACATCTGAACATTCCGAATGTGGTTCCCCAATTCTGGCTCCTTGTGGAAATGTGTCTTGCCAGAAGTTCCACTTGTGCAGAATGGTCCACCACGGACAAAACATGCGATCGGTCTGGCTGACCATTGCTTGATTACGATGCCCTTGTAACCGTATCGGATGAACGTCTTGATGAGCTCCCTGGACTTCTCATCATTAGGACTGAAGAATGCGTCTGCTTCATTGAGGCATAAGATGTGTGCACTGTTCTGCATCATCATCTTTACGATCGGTCGATCCTTCATCGGCATGTTGTGCACCTCCCTGTTGTCCAGCTTTGGATTCCTTGTGAGGTTTCCATGGTTCAGGGTAAGCATGTTGATCGCTAGGGATGAGGTGAACTCATGCATATTGAGATAGTCCACAGGAGGACGGTCGGTCGGCTGCGTCAGCGATCCCAGGATATCGGCATAGGCTCGGATGATTTTCGGGTCATCATGTGACCTGAGCTTCTTCAATCCAAGCGGAAGCTTGATCGGATATCCGGATCCTGGTTGAGCTTGCTTGTACTTGTCAATGGTGGGACATTCTCTTCGATGAGGGAAGTAGAATTCTTCTTCACCGAGATTGACATCGGGATCGACATGTGCGAATGAGGCTCTGTCGCACTCTGTCAAGTTGGGATGAGCTCTTCTTGGATCTTTGTTGAACTGGTTCATGAAGCGGGTGAGGTTTTCCCTGGCCCCCGCGAGCTCTTCCTCTGCGCCCTTTTTGTTCAAATCTGTTTCGAGATAGATTTCCTTGAGTTCTTGGATGAACTCATCTAGGTTCTCTGAATTGTGATATTCCACGATGACCTTTGGCTTGACGGATCTTTCCC